AGTCTCAATATGATATATGAACATTAAGCAAGCCTCACATCTCCCTAATTTTACAGATGGCAAAACAGATACAGACGTCCAGTGACTTATTCAAGGCCAAAGCATGAGTCAGTGACAGGAAGCAACAAATCCTAGGAGTCCTAGATATCAATCATCAGTTTAAACTTAACACAGCTAAAGCCAAATCCCTTGTCTTCCCTTCCAAACTCTCCCCTTTATCGATCACTGTCTACACCACCACCATGCTCTCTGTCACAACGGCCTATAAGACAGGCATCTTCTTCAACAACACTTGGATCTCCAAGACCCAAACACGCAGGCCACAGCCAAACCTTGCAGCTTCTTTCTCCATAGCATCTCGAAATTCCCACCAGACTGACACCACACACGTTTGTAGACCAAAGTCCTGGCCCTACAAATGAACTCATTGTAGGCAGACTACCGTGCCTGTGTGGTGACCCACTGACTTCAACAGGACTCCATATGGGTGAAGAGACCCATATAGGCTCACTGCAGGATCGGGGCTCAAATCTTATTTAGGATCTTAAAAATCAAGACTTCTTGAATAAAGGAAAAAGCTTCTTTTTCCAGCGACAGCCTTTTAAACCAATGAGGGCCATTTTATTTCATTCTGACAATACATCTGCCCCGTTTTAATTGACGAGTCCCTAACCTATCGCCATCATATTATCTTGAGTATCTGCAGCCGCTTCTAGGTTTTAATAACAAACAACTGTTATGATCATCTAGTCTGACCTCTTGCTTACGCAGGCTACAGAACCTCACCCAGTAATGAATGCATCAAGCCCATAACTAGAGTATACCTTTTAGAAACACGCCGAAGTCTTAACTTCATATCCTCTAAACTCACTGCTGGCACATTTGCCTAGTGACCGCCAATTCTGACTGAATGCCAGTTCCAACACTCAGCTGTTCTTCTCAATTAAATGCTCCCATTAACTCAATCTTGCCATTTAAAATGAGTGCAAATGATGAAAGACAAGATGGGGGAGGTAATATCTTTTACTGCACCAATTTCTGTTGGTGAGAGAGACATGTAGAAGAGCTCTGTGGAGCTTGAAATCTTGTCTCTCTCACCAACAGAAGTTGGTCCAGTAAAAGATATTACCTCATTCACCCTCTCTCTCTAATATCCTGGGACCAACACGGCTACAACAGTGCAAATTCTTAGGTATTTTGGCCACACTACACTCTGCTGTTTGATCACCTTTCTCCCCCTACTATTTGCATTACTCCTGCATACTCTGACTTACTCTCTTACTTGCCTACTTATGCCTGTAGGCATCCATCACCTAGTCTACATCCATTTTAACCGATTATTCCTCTTGCCCTCACTTCTAACCCTCTCTGGGACTCTATCCCATTTGCATCCAGGCTGAAACCTTGTAAAGCCCTTGGAAATGTTCCGATAGAAGTTTTGTACAAGTGTTCCTTCTTATGTCTGCCCATTGGAGTTTTTGTTTACTGAGCACATAAAAAAAGCAACTTAAAAACAAACAATTCAAGACTCAACACGACCTTGGATTGTCGTGTTTCATAATGCCCATGTTCATTAAAACAAGCTTTGGTTCTGCAAAGGTCAACTGGAAAAAGCTTTTCAGGAAAGTTATAAAAGGCAAATGTAGTACCAGAGGCATAGTAGTTTCTGTCTGACAGTCTTGTTTTTAACAAAGTTTATCCCATACAGTGAGGCAGCCAAACTTCACCCATCTGAGGCCCATACTGTCAATCATCAGGGCCCTCAGGGCCCCATCCAAGTGGCATGAATTGGAGCACTATGAAGCCACCTTTATCTTTAACATGGTGGTGAGGATCTTTGCAACAGGCCTACACTGCACTGCTCCATCCTGATCCACTGCGCCTTGTTGTCTCTAAGCCACATCCTCATTCGAAAACCTGGATGGCTACGGCCTGCATGCGGCCCTTGGGATTCATTTTGACCACTCCTTGCCATACATCTTGGTAACTCATTAAA